TATAAAAAATAATAACAACAATAACAACAATAACACCAGCAACAACAGTAATCAGATAATAGGGGGCAAATGGTTAGTAAGGTAATCCATTATTCTCATACTCCTATTATTATCAGGGGTGAATAATGTCAAATTGTCATTATTTGACAATTTGTGACAATTTATTAATTTAATTAATTTAGTTAATTACCAGATTAAAATTTATTTAATTTTATTTTATTAATTTAATTTCTTTAATTAATCACACAATTTGTGACAATGATGTCATTAATTTTTCATTGTTCACCCCTGTTATTATTTATATACCATAACTGGACCGTGCCGTGCTGTGTACGTGCGCCGGAACAGAACACATAATGTATGGCGTGAGGAGTGTTGCAGACTTTTGTACTATGAACGTCCGTCTATCTCAGTGGTTCTTGACCTTTTTGGCTCCACGACCCCATCAGACATTCTTGGTCAGTACCGTGAACCCCGAAACAAATATTTTTTTTAAACCAGCCCGATTTATATAGAATTAAAATGGATTTGTTTCATTTATGACACCTTCATGACCCCCGGAAAACCCCCAAACGACCCCCATGGGGGGTCACGACCCCCAGGTTAAGAACTGCTGGTCTATCTGATCTGGTGCATCTGATCTCATTGCCGCACGCATTAACTTCCCCACTTACTCTAATGGCCTCTGTTTTCGAGACAAAGTCGCTGGAATTTAGATCCGTTCCTTCAAAGTTGTCCTTTTTCTCTTCTATTGATTGTTTTGAAACTCCACTTTGCCCTTACTGGTAATCTGGTTTCGCATATAGAGGCTGGTTAAGAGATCGGCGCTGACATGACCAGATTTCCATGTGAAATTGCAGATGAAATACAAGTGAGTGTTCAAACTTGGCTTCGTACCGCCATGTAAAAACATTGATAACGACTGCGTGATGCTTTATGCATTTATGCATAAAACGATGCTTTTTTAGAATAACTTTAATCTAAGATCAACATCCAGTTTCTTCTTTTTTCTGATCCAGATGTACGTGCCGCGTGCCTGTATGTTTGTATGTCCGTGTGTGCATATGTGTGCGCTCGTGCGTGCGTACGTATGTATGTGTCCGTGTGTGTGTGTGTGTGTGTGCGCGCGCGCGTGCGTGCGTACGTATGTATGTGTCCGTGTGTGCGTGTGTGTGCGCGCGCGTGCGTGCGTACGTATGTATGTGTCCGTGTGGGCGTGTGTGTGCGCGCGCGTGCGTGCGTGCGTACGTATGTATGTGTCCGTGTGTGCGTGTGTGTGTGTGTGCGCGCGCGCGTGCGTGCGTACGCATGTATGTGTCCGTGTGTGCTTGTGTGCGCGCGCGTGCGTGCGTACGTATGTATGTGTCCGTGTGTGCTTGTGTGCGCGCGCGTGCGTGCGTACGTATGTATGTGTCCGTGTGTGCGTGTGTGTGTG